ATTGTACTATTTGGCATATTCCTAGAATGTATACATATAAATGTCTACAAACATATATATATATATATATATATCTCCTTATTAATAATTGCATTTTGGGGTGGCAACATTCAATGCGCTCCTGAATCAGCTGGCTTCCGGATCTGCCACTCACAAGGTGTCCCTGGCCACTGGCTGGGTTGCCTGTGTCCCGCCCACAGAACTGGCACCCAGCGTCTCTGCTTCAGCATGCTGCGAGGCTATGGAGGGGTCAGACCTTATTCAAACAACTAAGTCAGGGTAAGAAGCCAGAAAAAGGATATAATACACACTCCAAAATCTAATATAAATTTACAAAACTGGGGGAGCAAGGAAGCTTTAGGAACATTCAAAATCCAGTTATAAGACCTTGCAGGTGTGACAGTTATTAATGATGCTTACTGATTACTATGATTCTTTAGGAACCATGGGCAACACTGAAATACAAACATTAGAAAACAGCAATTCATTCAGTAAAGCTGCAGTGCAGAGAACCTTAATTATATAATGCTCCTAAACTGGCATACATGTTGTGATAATGTGAAATGGACTGTTGCATTATATTAAGTACTCAAAATGCTTAAATGAGTACCCACTTTCCTCTCTGTTAGGCAACTGCTCAGATACGGAGCCAGAGGAATCTTTCCTGGAGAGAGATCGCTTTGTTTTTCCTTGCCCCGTACGACTTCTCTGACGCACCATGAATCCACCAATGCCTGTAAAATCATACACAATTTAAAGATATTTTAAATAAGAAAAACACATTGGGATTTATGACATTTTGTAGATATGCAGTCTCTCTCACACGTATAAAATTAAGGTCCATTTCTAGTATGACAGCAGAAATCACTACACATTTAGTGAGCACCAGCTTCTACTCTGTAACAGGAAGTGGCTAGGGGCATGTACATTGTGGAAATGTGGATCCAGGAGCTGTGATTAACCTTGTGGCATGTTCCCATAGTAAAATAAAGATGATCCGGCTGGATATAGCTGATTAGCCTCAGGCAAAGCCAGAGGCTACCAATAAGGTGCCAAAGTTCTCACAGAGGGTTGATTCATCACTATCTATTTAAAGTGCTGAGGAAGAATAGAGGGTAGTCATAGGAGCATCCACTTCAGGCGTATTTTTAAGGTCAGAGAGATCCTGGAGGGTGACTTCCCAAACATGTTCATAAGAGGCTGGAAAGGGGATTTTGTGGTGGAGATACAGGAGGGAAGGTTTCAGCTACCCCCATGGGATGGGACCTAAAGAAGTTCATCTTGGGGAGTCAAGAACTGCAGGGTATTAATAACTTTGCTAACTAACCTTTTAAAATATTCCAGTGGGGCTACATTTAAAGGAGCAATATTCAGGCTCAACCTGGATCTGGTCACTGGGGAGGTGGGGGATTAGGAAAGGGAAGGCGAGGCAACTCCATAGCAGGCAACTGTCCTAACCCTATTTTGCTATGTGACAGCGGGTTGTGGCACCGGATCTCCAGCCATGGCTGCAGAAGGTAACATGGGCACTATACCAAACAAACCAGGAAGACTGCTGCACTCTCCCTCATGACCATTTAGACCAGTTTTAATTGGAGAAGATGTAGGCAGAGCAAAGCATGAAACCAGAATATTGAAGAGTGGCAAAATGACCCTCTGCTTGGTATTCTCCCTCCTGGGAAAAGGAGTCAAGAGTCATATTGGGCGGGGTTTCCCTGTCACAGAGAGAATGTTCCTTCCTCTTAGCTGGTGTTTCAGGCAGGATGCTGTAGTGAAACCAGTACACTCCTATCCTACTGTCTTCAAAGGAAGGGACAGAGGATTAAAAACAAGCAAGGAAAGAAGAAGAAAAAAGAAAGGAGAATAAAGAAAGTCGAAACAAAGTCCATCAGGGAGAGCAAGGAAAGAGACACTTCCGACACCTGTCCAAGTAAGGAACAGACTGCAGTAGGGTGCTTCCAGTGCAACGAGGAAATGGACTGCCCACTTCCTCTGCCCATATTTAAGCAAATATAATAGACCAACATTAGAACTAGATTCCCATATCAAAACCAAGACCTAGCTAAATTGGTATCAGAAGTCTGACACTCATTTGGAAAAATATCTAGAATGAGCTGCAGAAGAAAAAACTCTTCAGTTTAGGGCCACGAAGAATGCTCTTTAGTTCCTAACTTAGCTTCATGGATTTATAGAGACTAGGTACCCTTAACTGCCCTCCCTCCCAAGAGCATGACATGGTTCTTCCCATTTGGTGTTCAGGAGCCTGGAGAGGAGACCACTGGTATGTTTCTGTTCAGCCATTCCCTCTGTAGGTGAAGTATATAGTAAAATGAAAAATGCTCAATCTTTTGACCTCCAGCTGTGCTGTTAAATTTCTTTCCCCCAAGATGTGGGAACCATAAACAACCCTTCCAGAGGGAGGCTACCTGGATTTACTAGGGAAGTTTGCCACCCAATATAGTAGTTCTTGATGTAAATTTATAGACGGGTTGGTAGCAGTAAAGAAAGCTCATGCTATGGTAAAGGTATTTATTTTAATGAAATTGAACAATGTGCTGAAATATCATCAAGAGATTGCTCTTGGGAGATGCGCATCCTTAACACACTCTTCAATAGTAGTAGCATCTGCAACAAATTAGAAAGGCGGGCCATAATCTAGTCTTTAACAGGATAACGAGGGCAGGGCACCTTCATAATTGGACTATAAATTCAGTCATAAACTGAGCAGAGGAAACTGTAACATACAAGAATGAACAAGGCATTTCTCAGTGATATATTACTTAGCCTTCCTAATTTTAAAACTAAAAAAAAATACACACAGTCAATAAATATAAACCTGATGCACATGCAGATATCCAAGGCTTATACTCTACCTGGTCTGTATGGTTTTCTTTTTCTCTTCTTGATCCCATCTGTTCCTTCTACCCCCTTAGGATCATCTTCTGCAGGCTCCCGTTCAGGGCTAGTATCTGATTTTCCTTCACAGTCCATAAGGTCTCCTTCTAAAGAAAAAAGTACAATTAGTACTTTTGATACTTAATACAATTAATACCAAAGCTCTGCTACAAATATAGGAAAAGCACTATAGGCAATGGAGAGACACATACCCATGTTTCACTTAAATAAACACCTGTGTTACTTATTTCACGGCTTGTCATTATATAAGCCTTTCTTCAAACCTATGGCTGTCATTATATTCTGGCATTTTTAGCACATTCTACTGCTTGCTGACCACATATCTGTGGGCACTGATGTCCCTTGGAGACATTAAAACAGGTTGCTTACCTGTAACTGGTGATCTTTGAGTGGTCATCTGTGCATTCACACCCATGGGATCTAGTGCGCATGTGCTGGATTGATCGGCATTGTAGCAAGCTCTTTAACGGATTTTCGCACCCAGACCATGGGCATGCGCAGGAACCCCACCGCGCATGCCCAGAGGGGAGGGCATGGACATCCCGCCAGCTCCTTCAAACCGCCGCAAATCAACCCCTATTGAAAATGTAGAAGCCCCACTTCTTCTCCATAAAAATAAACAGCGGAGAAGAAAGAAGAGGGGGGGGTAGCCCGAAGGCCACACTGAGGTAAACTGGCAACTTTCCCCTCAGCTGAAAATAAAGTTGTTGGTTTTTTTTAGTTTTTGAAAGAACAAACGAAGAAGTACTAAAGAAAAGAGAATAAAGTGAGGAAAAATCCGAAGAGCCGTGAGGCAAATAGCCAAAAAAGCGAACCGATCAGACCTACGAGAAAGAGGTCTTTCCAACGCGGTGGTAAGAAAGGAACTGGCGGGATGTCCGCGCCCTCCCCTCTGGGCATGCGCGGTGGGGTTCCTGTGCATGCCCAAGGTCTGGGCGCGAAAATCCGTTAAAGAGCTTGCTACAATGTCGATCGATCCAGCGCGTGCGCACTAGACCCCATGGGTGTGAAGCACAGAGACCACGTCGAAGATCAATTGTTCACTGGGAAATTAGTAGCAGACAAGTAGTAGCTCATCAGTTAACGAGCTCATCCGAGCCATATAAATCTGAATGTACACTGAATAGCAAAAAGCAGTGTGTAAAAGGGATCCATAGCACCAGAATAATTTACTGTTATTATGGTATGCTCTGAATTCCTCATTAAATGTATTCTCACAAGCACCATGAGATAAGCTGTAGTTATTCACATTTTACAAGAAGGAAAATGAAACTGACAGACCATGACTTACCAATGAGTCCTTGGCTGAATTGGGATGCAAGAAAATAAGGTTCCTCATGCAAAAGGCATGCACTGGCTTCCCTACCTGACTTTTGACCAATTTTGGGAGGAAATGGGACATAAATACATCAAATAGGTTCCTGGCAATGTATAACAGGTCTGCATACACTGCTGAGCTGGAAGCCTCTTCTCAAGAGAGTTTCATTTCAAAAAGTCTGAACTACATATGACACTTGCATTATACTGATCATGGCTTCCACCATGGTCCCTGCCCCTTCAGACTACTTGAGCTATCTGTTTAACGCCTATTTCTAAGAATCCCAGCAGCTCTGTCAGCCTCTGCAAACTTCTATTATTGTTAGTAACAGAATACAGCACAAAGCAACAGGTACCTCTACTGTCATCCATCTCGCCATCCCGTGAATGTTCTGATTGTATATCAGGTGGAGTCTGGAGTACGGCCACACTATTCTGGTTTATAATTTTCAACTTGAGCTTTGGCTTTGTCCGTTTTCTTCTTGGTACAACAGCACTGAGGCTTTGTAACTGAGACAGTCCTACTTCTGTCAAACAGACTCCATCCTGGGTGTATGTCTTCGGTGGGTCTATGAAAGCATGAACCATAACAGGAATATAAATGCTCACAAAGACTGGGTATTTTATTTCTTTATAAGGAAAAACATAGAACATAACCTATTCTAGCATTACAACAAGAAAAAAAAGGATAACTAATACAGCAGTTTGGTATAGTGGTTAAGTGTGCGGACTCTCATCTGGGAGAACCGGGTTTGATTCCCCACTCCTCCACTTGCAGTTGCTGGATGACCTTGGGCAAGCCATAGTTTTGACAAGAGCTGTCCTTGAAAGGGCAGTTCTTGAAAGAGCTCTCTCAGCCCCACCTACTTCACAGGGAGACTGAACAGAACAAAAATCTTTATTACCGTTTGTAACCAACACCAATGGTCTAACCATAGCATATTCCAAGCATACGAAAGCTAGCTCAAATAATTCAAAATAATACACTGCATTAACCTGGGGGTCTTTAGGTTACATATTTAAGGAATCTTTCCTAATTCTATAAGATGCTGCCCAAAAATTTGGCGCATGCTAATGTCACCTGTGGATTGGCATCTATCATAAGCGTAACACTAATATCAGAGTCCGGACGGCCTAAAAGCCTTTCCCGTATGGGTTGAATATATATAGCTCGTATATTTTGATAGAACCCACAAGCAAGCAAAGTATGATTGATAGTATCAACCTCTCCAATACCACAAGGACAAATACACTCAGCCAGAGGTATCTTCTTGTAGCGACCTATTACTACCTCAGAAGGGAAAATATTACAATGAGCCATAGAGAAGGCCCTTCACCCGCTGATCCTTAAGCTGCCCCTTTTCTGCTACGAGGAGATTTCTCCCCAGCTTGGACCTCAGATAAGTATAAGCGATATCCTGTTGTGTTATTCCCATTGTCTGTTGCTTTTGTTATTTTCCTTGCTGATTGCTTTCTATGAACTATTGTAACTAAGGATCTTGTGAGAATCTGTGTATGCATCTGTTTTCGTATGCTTGAGAACTGTTTAGTAAAAAGGCAACATTTATTCCTAAACCTAGCGTGTTGTCTCAATTCCTGGGAATTAGGAGCATTTCGTTGGCCAATCTGACCTCTGTATACATTGGACAAGAACTCACGCCACGCCCACTGTTGTAGATAATTCAGAATTGGGCTCCCGGAACCGTCCTTAGAGGAGTTCGAGTTACACAAGAATTTAGATTTTATTTTTTCGAGAGCAGAGAAGTTTGAGGATATTGGACCCAGCATCATCCCATACAGCAGCTGAGGCACAGTCTTGGCAAGATACAGTTTAAGGGCCACTGGAACATATTGCCCCCCTTTCATATAAAAAAAATCTAACAATACCCTGGGTTGATTTGCGACCAGAATTTGCAGCATATTCATGATGGGCCCTTTTTGTGCCTGAAGATTAAATCATAACTCCAAGGTATTTATAAGCTGCTACCTGCTGTAGCTTATAGCCATTTATGCTCCATTCTCTGATCTTGGGTTTAGTGCCAAAGGCCATTATTTTAGTTTTGTTACAATTGATCTCCAAATGATTTAAATTACAATACAGGCCAAATTGATTTAGTGCCCCTTTCAAGCCGATTGGCATCCTGGATAATAACACCGTATCATCCGCATACAGTAAAGCTAACAGATGTTGATCAGCTAAGGTGGGCACAGGGTGACTGCCGTGGGGACGGGAAGGGAAAGGAGTTTGTTGTAAGCCACTCTGAGTGAAGGGCAGGGTATAAATCCAATCTCTTCTTCTTCTTCCAATAAGGCAAAGCCATGACTTAAGAACATAAGAAGAGCAGTGCTGGATCAGACCAATGGTCCATCTAGTCCAGTATCCTGCCTCACACAGTGGCCAACCAGTTCCTCTGGATAGCCAACAGGGCATAGAGGCCAAGGCCTTGCCTTATATTGCCTCCTGGCTCTGGGATTCCAAGCCTTAGTACCTCTGAATGTGGAGATTCCCCCCAGTCAAGTCACCATGGCTAGTAGACACTGATATCTGGCAGCAAAGCTGTATTGTTTCCTTGTGGACTTCCTGAGTGCCTGTTGCAGCTACCTGTTCATTGTTTGCCAGTAATGTCACTGCTTCAATCCTGCAAAAAGTCTACTCAAATGAAGTCCAGTGACAGAAACTGCCTGTGCTATAAACTGGTTGTGGTTCACATAAAGACTTACTTAAACAGGAAAGCAGTCCCATACATTTTAAAAGAGCATATTTAAAACTAAGCCAACTTGTAGGTGCTTTGAAGATAAAAAATCTAATTTTGAAGTAAGGCAATTAGCAAGAAATGAACAGGATGGCAAAAAATAAATGGATATACTGATAATGCAATAAAAATAAACAAATCTAGGCTTCAAAGTGAAATATCACCAGAAACCTGCTGGAGGACAGCAATCAAGAACGTTAAATATACCAAGTTCCTTTGCCTTTGCTACAATTTGGGCTGCAACTGACGATTCACAGCATTCAGAGGAAGGCACTGAAAAATAAAAAAAGTAAATTATTGGATAGCTAAATGCTCACGTTAATGTTACCTTTACAAATTAAAACTCTCCACAACTTGTTATACAACTCCTCCTTCCTACTTCCAGCACTTACCATCAGACACGCCAGAGCTGTACTAGTTTTCTTAAATATTTCACCTTGAGGCTGACCTCATTTTTGGTTGACACGGATTCCTAACTTTTTGTGCACTTGCACCAAAGGATACAATGGAAGCCTCAGTACATAAATGGAAAATAATGACTGAGTGCTCATAAAATAAGGAAGGAAATAATATTTCTGAAAGCACTAGGCCCAGTCCAAAGAATATTAGAATCATCAAAATCTCACAGAAAATAATGGAATTTACAATCCGATATATGTTTACTGAGAATGAACTCCCACTGCGATTAATGAAGTTTACTTCCAGGGAAAGGCATAAAGAACTGCCACGTATCATCACTCAGTTTTTCATGCTCATCAGTCTAAACAAAAAGTATGCATTTCTTTGGATTAATTCCAGAAGTGCAGCAGACAGTGTTAGTCTCTTGTTGCTACAGTCAGAGTCTTTTGGCACCTTGGGGGTAGTGACTGCAATGACAGATCAGAAGGCCAAGTTTCCCAGGATAAGGTGTATCTACATGCACAGGTGAAAACAAGAGCCAGTCAAAAGTGTGAAGAGTAAGAATGGACAATGCCCAACGTTTGTTGAATTGGAAAAAATAGGAGGAATCTGAATAGTAAGGGGAAACAATTGCTTTCTATAGTGAGCTAACCATCCTTAAGTCCTTATTGAATCAAAACTAATAAGATCGGATCTGCATATGAACTCCAGCTCAGCAGAAGCTTCTCCCAGGAGTCTCCCTATGAAATGGTTCTGTTGGACTACTGTAAACTTTAAGTCTATTACTGAATGTCTAGGGATGTCTTGGTGCTGGGGGGGGGCAACAGTGGGAGGGCTTCTAGTGTCCTGGCCCCACTGCTGGATCTCCTGATGGCACCTGGTATTTCTGGCCACTGTGTGACACAGAGTGTTGGACTGGATGGGCCATTGGCCTGATCCAACATTGGCTTCTCTTATGTTCTTATGTTGAAATGCAAATAGCAGAAGGGGCATTGTTAGGATGAACGAACACTTGATGCAATGGTTAATAATGTTACTAGATTCTGCGGCAGTGGATACAGCAAAAGAGATGGCACCAAGATTTGCTGCAGAGACTGATGGAAAAACTGGCGAGTCTCTATTCAAGAGAAAAACAGGTTGCTTACCTGTAACTGATGAACTTCGAGTGGTCATCTGTGCATTCACACCCATGGGATCTAGTGTGCACGTGCTGGATCGATCGGCATTGTAGCAAGCTCTTTTAATGGATTTTTGTGCCCAGACTTTGGGCATGCGCAGGAACCCCACCGCGCATGCCCAGAGGGGAGGGTGCGGACATCCCCCAGTTCCTTCAAACTGCCGCAAATCAACTCCTATTGAAATTGTAGAAGCTGACAGCAGTGGGGATGGAGGGCAAGTGGTCTGAATGCACAGATGACCATTTGAAGATCACCAGTTACAGGAAAGCAACTGGTTTATCTTCAACGTGGTCTCTGTGCTTCACACCCATGGGAGATTAGCAAGCAGTGGCCTACCTGGAGGAGGGTGTTGGCAGATCCTTACTGCATCGCCGAAGATAGAATATGACGTCCCATGTTGGTATTATAGTTCTTACGGACGTCCAGGGCGTAAAGCCTCATGAAGGTGTTAGGCGTGGCCCAGGGAGCAGCCTTGCAGATGTCCGTCAGGGGTACTCCCTGGAGGAAAGCAGTGGAAGCCGCAACAGCCTGGGTTGAATGGGTCTTGATGGGGCCAGGCAATGGCTGCTTTGCAATCAAGTAGCAGAGGTGGATGAGACCTGCAATCCACTTTGAGAGGCATTGAGCCGTGATGCGAGTCCCCAGCCTCGCTCCCCCGCCCACCCAGCGGTTCGAAAGCAACTTAATTGCAAGTAGATAAATAGGTAAATGGGTAGATAAATGGGTAGATAAATGGGTACCCACCCTTAGTAGGGTGGGGGGCACCCTGCCTGTGTGGTGGTTGAAGACAGATGGCGACGGCAATGGCGGTGGAGGACGGCGTGGAGGTGGTGGAACTCTGACACGACCTTTGGCAGGAACGAAATGTCAGGAACGAGGCGGACGCCATCTGACAAGAATGACAATTAAGGTGTGTCATGCCGGAAAGCCAGTATTTTTCCAACTCGCCTTGCAGAGGTGATGGCCACTAGAAAGGCCGTCTTCCAAGACAGGAATTTCATATTGCAAGTTGCGAGTGGCTCAAAGGGTTTCCTCGTAAGTTGATGAAGGACTAGAAGAAGATCCCAGGGAACAACAGGAGTCTTGACAGGAGGGTAGAGGTGTAACGAACCTTTTAAAAAGCGTTTCGAAAGCGGATGTGAAAACATGGTGCATCCGTCGACGTGAACATGGTAGGCCGAAATTGCGACCAAATAAACTTTTACCGATGAATGGGAAAGTCCCGAGTCAGCTAGGGACAGGAGGAATTGGAAAACTTTCTCAAGGCCTGCGGAGGAGGCTCGAGGGGCATCATTACCCAGGGAAGAACCATGGTTTTCCACAGTCCTCGAGTTGTCAAGGGGAATGTACCACCAATTCCCTCCGGTACAGGACCTCCTCTTCTTCTCAGACTCCCCTCT